CGTTCTTTGAAACAAATTTAGGGGCGTTGAGAACTGCGATGTATTGTTGCGCCGCCTCGGCGTGGTAATCAAGCGCCATGAGAATGTCGATGTAGTCTTCTATGTCTTGAGGCTTATACTGCAAGTACCGTTTATAAACGCATACCGCTGTAGGCCCTTTGACTGATTTTGCAAAACCTAGGTAAAGGGGCCACATTCTGTCATGCTGGGTAATCGGTAGGGCGCGGAGCGCTCTGTCGAACGCTCGTCGTGTTTCTGTGACTCGGCACTGCTTCATAAGAAATTGCAAATAATCAATCCATAATCGCGGCATCTAGTAGCTGTCATTACCATATTCAATAGTTACTGCATTCCGAAAACGAATTACTTACTTTACTCAACATCATCAGAGCTCGCTCGAAGCATTCATTCACCTTGACAAACTCGTCTTCATACTTGGCAGGGTTGATCTCGTCCAAATAATTCACCCTCAGGTCAAGGTACATTTTCCATACTTTGTATGACCGTCCCAAATCTCTGCATGCCCGCTCAAAAACAAAAACTCGTTCGTGAATTGGAGATTTCAATTTATGTTCGATGTACCTCATCCACGGCGCCAGTGTATGTGGGTGACGCAACACATCGTGCTCGTAAGGAATATCTGCCTCAGATATGAGGTAGAGATCGAGCTTTTTCGTGCTCGGACGGTCGATCGAGGGCATTCTGGTAGCGGTTAAAGATCAATTCAGGTGGTGCTAGGTATGGATCGATGATGGGCCATTGGCCGTATTCAAAAGGCGAGTCCCAATTTTCCAAATTTGAGTTTTGCGCCCAACGAACTAAAACCCTCAGGTTCGTATCTAGTTAACCAATACGGCCAAATATACCCTATCAGAATTGATTCTGAATAATTTTTGGAAAAAGTGTTTCGAAGACGCAATAACAATATCCAACGTTACACAATTTGTAATGATATCAAATTAGAGCTATTGATATGATCTACAACAAGAGCCTAAGGAATGAATCGGTTGGCTAAAAAAGGTTGCCAGACAATATATGTTAAGAACAGGAATTTTAAGATCATGAATACACTATGTATAACCTCAAATGACAATGAGAACCGATACACGCGCTCAAAAGATCAAAAATGAAAGCAAAAACAATACAACAATCAATTCACTATGCCGTACTATGCACTCACGACTTCTGCGTATTCCCTACAGGACTCGATGGACAAAAAAAAAAGTTGCAAAAACAAATTCTATAACCCAAACAAATAGAGCACTTAGTAATCCAAAAAAAAAAATCCACACCTCCCAACCTTTTTTCACACCTTGATTACAAGCCTAATTTCAACTACATACCGACAAAACTACTCACAACATGTAATTAAACGTTTGAGCCTGCTTCTTCGCGACAAGCTTGGCACCGTTCTTTAGAATAGTGTCAACGGTTCTCTCGTCATCCAGGATATCAATGTTGAAGCCGTGCTCTTCTCGAAGCTGACGCGCCTCTGCAACAGTAATAACTTCGTACCGAGAGACCTCGTCATCTCCGTCCTCATCATCCTCGTCATCGTACTCATCCTCGTCTTCATCAGCGATGCTGGGAACCGAAGCAGACGAGTACTCGTCGTCAATAAGTCGATATCGCTCCTCCTTGTAACTCTCAGCATTGAGTTTAGCCAAATGCCGTCTCAACATAATCGCCAGAATAGCAACGATGAACATGGCGATACTGCAGATGATCATTCCACGCTCGTAGTATGGCGCATCGGACTCAGGGTACAACCGAGTGCCGATAAGAGGACCGCACTGGCCAATCGTGTTGAGCATGACCATACCGGTTCCCTTACCGGACTCAGATGACTGGTTGTTGACAGTCCAGGCTATTACAACCGTCACTACGGAGAAGAAGCCGGATGCAACAACGAATATGGCGCAGTATCGAGTAAGTGTATCACGGGAGATCGCAAGGACAAGATAACCAGCGGCCGAAATCGACGCGTGGAAGATGATAAACTCGGCACGCGACTGTTTCTTATCGGAGAGATAAGTCGTGAGCAAGACAACGACGTAGGCGACCAGATAAGGAGGGGCGGAGAGACCCTGCGCAGTGATCGACTCGTAGCCCATGCTACACCTGTTAGCAACATACACCGACGCAGAGAGTAAAACAGACCAAACTCACTCTCTGAGAATAAGTGGAAGAAATACAGGCATAGAAGCATACGCAATATTGGCAAGGAAAAACATTGACTGCGCCGTATTAGTACAATCTTCTAAGGTCCCAGATTACTGTCAGATACTTACCGCGGTGACGTAAACTTTAGGATCCTGCAAAACTTCGATAGCTTCTTCCCATTTAAATCCATGGGAGCCAGTATGGCTAACCTGCTCACCCTCAACCTCAATTCGTCGTCTATATCTCGAGCGAACAATGATCTTATCCTTCAAGTCCAAGAAGTACGCACTCGACGGTCTGTCCGGAAGATAATTCCATGCGATGCATGCCATGAGCATACACGGAATACCTTCAACAAATAATAATACACGCCATGAATCAATCGGAGTATGGTCCGCGACACTGGTAATAAAGTACGCGATTGTACCCGCGAACGCAGTTGAGAGCGGAGCAGCTGACATGAAGATGCCGGTTCGGAAACCCATTTCCTTTCGCAAATAAAAGAACGACAAGTACATTGGGACACCGGGTCCAAAACTAGCCTCGCCGATACCGAGCAAGAAGCGAAGGATGAATAGCGACCAGTAGTTGAACGCGACGGATTGCAGAGATGCAACCAAACCCCACCCGAACAGACACATGGTGACATAAATATGCGCAGGAACGACATTCCACAAAAAGCCAACCCATTCGAAAGAAATATAAGAGATATAAAACGCCGTCAATAGCCAGTCAAACTGATTCGAAGAGAGATTGAAGCTCTCCTGCAGGCCGGCGATTCGAGCATTGCCGATATTGGACCGGTCAAGGAAAGCCAACACAAACAGTGTCGTGATAAGCGGCATCAGATACCGGTCAATTTTTCTCCGCAGATTTTTCTCTTCTTCCTTCGTGAACCGGAGCAAAATCCTTTTCTGCGAACCATCAGCTGGTGCGATGGCCGGCACAGCTGTCGTCTCAGTCAAAGTAGGCATTATTGTTGACGGTAATTTACGAGACGACGAAAGGTAATAGGCAAGACCACCCAAATAAAAAACCGTCTACTTGAAAATTATACCAAATTGTGGCCAAAGACAAACAAATGCTCCGGGTGAGATTTTTTTCTTTCCTGTCCGGGGAGCACACCAAACTCGGCTGGGGATGGACGCAATACAGATAAAGGGCCTCGAAACAACACAGCTAAGCTATTCTGGAGTGCAGTTGACGGGCAAGCACTCCGTAACACAAGTGCCTGCTTGCCTCCATTGGCTTATTCTCCGGGATGCGGATTTTGTGTTACTTCCCCATAATAAGGAATCGAGTGGCGATCATATCATGTGCCCATTTGAAATGAATCGCGACCAGATTAAGGTTCAGAAAGATGTGTAAGTCCTTACTTAGCTACTAATGTAGCACATTAATAGACTTGCGCTAGAGGATTTGATGAGACTCAAACTAAATTCAAACAAGCCTGCAGTTTACGATATTGCCACATTTTTAGTTTGGGTTGCAGACGTGTGTGATGTCCGCGCAAAATAGAGAGCTACTACCTGTGTTTTGAGAACCACTATTACGCAAGCGGTACATCCGACGACCGATGGCGGTGAGCCGGCTCCCCGATTTAACGTGGTCGGGGGTCCACTTATTTCTGGTTGCTGGTTTTGTGGACTAGTGAAATGTAAGCATTACGTCGCTCTGATAACGGAAATTGAATTTTTCAGCAACCAGAACCACAAAAGCAGTCAAATTTGAGAAGCGGCAGGACACAGTGACCAAATGACCTTTTGAGTGCTTCAGATAGGGTCGGTCGGTCTTGTCAAATTGGCCCAATTCCAATTCTACGTGTCGGTTATCCGACCAGCGCTCCAGCCAACGGTTTTTTTCTGTTGCCGGACACTTAGCGAGTTAAAGTGAGGCACGGGGCTTGTGCGCAGAGATAATTGGCACAGCGAACAAGGGTCCAGCCGACCATTGACTAGGTTCAACCGTGAACTCCCATATCTTGAATAATAAGTTTGGCGTATAAATGGCTCATGGTTAGGTTACATTGTACTTAGGATTGATGGAGATGGCCTTACTGGTGAAATGTAGCAATTTATATATTAGCCCATGCCAGTCAGGACGAACACCATTTTCTCATATGGCATATATGAGAGATGCAGCTCCGTTTATGCGGTCAAACAGAGAGAGGCACAGAAGCCAGCGCGTGTCAGGTGCGACTAAGCGTCCGATCTGTGCGCTCTCCGAGTCTTTGTAAGATATTTGTGTTACAGCGTGTATGGTGTTTGTTCCGTGCGAGTCCGCGTCGAACGCGTCCAAGCGTGATTTCGCTGTAGGCTCAGCCGAGTTCTGGCAAGAGAAGCGAGGGCGAGGGCGAGGGCGAGAGTGCTTTGTTGGCAAAACCGTCATCAGAGTCTTGCGTGTTACTCTCTCTCTTAATAAGTGGCCTCCGCCCAAGCATCCTCAAATGTCGAGTTCAGGCTAAGGTACGTAACCCTCGAATTAGATGCCTCCCAACGAGTCACATTATTACTCCTGTGCGTTGTTCTCATTAAGATGTGGCCATATACATGAATGTAATGTATAAACTGATTAAATTGGTAGATAAGCTTGCCATTCTTGTATATTCATTCGCTTTTCCCGGCATGAATCGTCTTTATAAGGCATCACCTCGCATGTTACTCGTTACTCATTTACTATTTCTGTACTTGATTCGTTTATATCTTTACATTACGACGAAGTAAATAATGACAGCGAAAAGGTCTTTGTGCGTTTGGATATTCCCCGGCTAGCAGCTTACGAACAATCAAATTAAACTTGAATAAAAACAAAAAAGAACGCGAAAGCGTCAAAAGAAATGTTTTGAGTTGGATTCGAATCAATGATCTCAGTATTTCTAGTCTGCGCCTTGCCAACTTGGCCATCGGCGGAGCATAAACGGATCTGCATTTCCCATATATGCCATATTGTTCGCGATCCTAGAACAGATTGCCACCTAGGGGATCTTGGGTAATCTTGGTACGGAATGAAGCACCCAGTGACGTCGAGAACCACCAGATACGCATCACCTTTCTCTAGACACTTCTCGTGCAAATCCTGAATCTTGAATGTTGTCAATCGCTCGCAGAATTCTAGTCACAGTATTACATTTTCGGATCCAATGTAAAGTGTGGCATGAAATATACTCAGGAACTTGCGCCGCACAATGCATAAATTGCGCGCTGCCATGATGTACGGAGCAAAGACAGTCTTCAGATTTCGCAAAGCGTTACTTCTTATACGTTTATATAAACAATCATAAGCAGCAAATAAAACCCAACCGAAAAACAACACTACAATCCCAGCAATACCTAAACGGCTGACCATACAATCCCAGAATCGTCCCCGGTTCGATTACGGAATCCGGCGGAGTGCTCCAACCGTTAGGCAGTCGCCGATGCGACACGATACACTCAGGGACAGCTTCCTGACATTTCCCCCTCCTCAAGGACTCGTCTGCAAGAAGAGTCCTGGTGATTTGAGTATTATAACGGTAATCCTGTAAGTACTGCTTCCAGTTCGGTTCTTTTTACCGTCGATATCAAAATCCACGAACATAACAACCAGTGCTCATTATGGTGTTTCAGCTTCCGCTTCTAACGGCAAAAATTCTTGACCGTGGACGGGATAATTGCCTTCGGCTGCAACGAGCGACCGAAGTCGCGTTGACTTAGTATCGCAGCAATTGCCATACCTGATGTGTCAGATTCAATAACTTTCGCCGCAGGGCACCGACGGCACTGCAGGTGGTCGGCGGTGGGGTACGAGGCACTTAGGACACTCAGTGGGACAACTAGAGATCCTGAGCTGGACGTCCACAGTCACGCAAGTCGCCTCAATTCCTACACTTGCAACATCGTCAGAGCCCATTAGTTTGCAAAATTGTCACGGTAGTCATCACTGTTATGGTGAGGTGGCATAAGTTACGCAGCGCACCACAATACAATTATTGAGATGAGAGGAAAAATTCATAAGTATTTGGAAGACCAAGCGAGGCAAGCTTGCGGCTCAGCAACAGCAACATGGCCAATATGGGTGATTAGTAGCCATCTGGAATATAATTTGCTAGGTCCTACGGCGATGAGTTCTGTGAACTGCTGTCGCATGCTAGATAGCTAAAGCATTATAGCGAGCATGACTAAAGTTGCTGTAAAACTGCCAGAGTCGTTCGGAAGTGCAATTGACATAACTGCTTGCGGATGCTTTCTTCTAATATTTATAAAATAAATGACAAAAAAATTAATATTGCATGATTACAGCGAAAACTTGACGAGATAAAGCAGAAACGTGTAGGCCATGCAAATTTTGGTAAGATGGTCCATGGTCCTTTAAAGTTTTCGGCTGGTCGCGGGATAACCATTCGACGATCGCGCAGCCATAGTTTTTTGTCTCCGCAGTCTTGGCCCCGAATCTGACCAGTTGGATTGAAAATTGAAACCAATGACAGAATACTCTGCCATTGATTAATGAAGCAACTATTCCGCATAGCTCGACGTTGCTACTTCTCAACAGTCTCCACAACATTGCACAGCTCATAAAAACCATTCCGATTACTGCTAGAGTAGGAAGCCCACATAATTAGTGGGCAAGAACGCGTTTGCACACCGACGCTTATCTGATGGGCTTCATTCTATCTAAAACTGCTGCCCGAATGCTCTTCATCTGAAAACGTACGTCTGTTAGTGCGTGGTGTCGGAATTAAAATGTAGAGGCACTATAAGCAGAATGTCCGCTGCCATAATAGTAGGAAGCGCATGAAACGGATCTGATAAAGAACTGGTTTAATACGTAGGCTGGTTCATTATAGTTATCCGTGCTGCGGGTGCGTGCGGTTTCGAAGATGTGCTCATTACAAAACCAGCTTAGCGTGGATTCGTACATGAATCATCGCATCTCCACATGAGCTGAACCCTTCTGTGGACCGCGACTAACAATATTCTTGCTGTTGCACTGCTGGACAGACGAATCAGAGCCGACATTCGAGTACAGCTGTTTTTGTCCTCGGGCGGCTTATCCGGTAGCCTATAGCACCGTTTCCGTGCCCTCTGAACAACAACCGAGATGTGCGCCTTCGAGTTGGGCTCGTCGGGTTGGCTTCAACCTCAGGCCACCACCCCCAGTGACAACCTCGCCGATGGTTCATCTCTATCGGCGTCCCATCCCCTATTAATATCACCTACCAGTTCCGTCCCCGGCCTTGTGAGTTCTCCACACCTCTCGGCTACATCTCCTGCTACTATAGTGCTGCAAGCCAAGTCGAATGGCTGCGCACCGGCAGCTTCACTAGACAGCTCTACACCAGTTTATCGTGCGCGGAAAGTTCGCAGGGTCCATGTTGAGCGACAACGAGTCAGCCGTGCCTGTGATCACTGCAAGAGGTTAATTTCTACTCGGACTGATACTCCGGCCACTAGTTAGTTCCCTGCTCATGACTCAGTAGAAAGAAAACTCGCTGCAGCGGTAAGCTCCCATGTATTTCTTGCGTCCAGTTAGCACTATCCTGCGAATTCACCGCCGAATATCATCGCGGCCGCCCGCCATCCCCAGAGTGGAGTGGCCTCGAAATTTCCCAAGCGCAATGTCCATCCGCCACTAGTTCTTCGACAGCGATTCCTGCCTATAACTCTTCTGTAATCCCGATCGGTCGAGAGACAAATGAGAGTGCAAGTCAGTTGGAGAGCCCAGACGACAGACGGACATGTCTTCAGCCAACTGAGATGGATTACACAAAGAGCTCGAGCAAGGAGAATTACGACGAAGAGGAGGGGAATGAGGACAAAGAAGACGATCCAGAGTATCTCCAAAACCTACGAAACAAACTAATGGCAGATCAACCGGGAGGCAACTCCCCGGAGCCTCAGCATATGGATGCATATGGACAATATGTGGGGTCCGCCTCCGGCATTTCCTTCTTGTTGCGGGTCCAGAAGCGACTACAAGATATCAATATCACCACGCCAAGCACATCGATCTTGACATTTGGAGACCCAATCCTTCCGGATTCTCACCCAAGCTGCTTTATCTTGCCTCCTAAGACTGAGGCAAAGGCAATGATTGACTTTTATTTTTCGTACGCGATGCCGACATATCGTTTTCTGCACCAACCAACTGTCAACGTTTGGTTCGAAGAGTTTTATGAATCTTTCGACAGCATAGACCTGAAGGAAGGGACAAGGGAGAAGAATGCAATTATAATTACCTTGTTTGCTCAAGCTAGAAAATATCCAACGTGTTCTCAAAAAATGAAATACAAAGACAATAGGTATTGCGTTTGTTCATGTGAGTAGCGAAACGCTAACATGGCCTAGTGCAGTGTACTTCCATGCTGCAGAGCGTCAGCTTGGCATCGAAACTGGCCGTCCCAGATTGGCCAGTGTTCAAGCAAGATTAGTGCAGTGCTTCTATCTACTCTCATGCTCTAGAATCAATCACTGTCGAAGTTTATTTGGCACCACGGCGCATCTGATACAAGCGCTTGGTCTTCATAGACGGCAGAGACACCTCAGCACACAAAATACAGTCGATTATATTGAACAGGAATGCCGGAAACGCGTATTTTGGGCTGCTTACAACTTGGACAAATACCTCAGCACCGTCTTGGGCCGTCCAAGTATATTTCATGATAATGATATCGACCAAGAGCTACCGTCTCTCGTTAATGACGAAGATATTACACATAAAGAGATGAGTCTGGGGGATTACAAAACTGTGAACTGCATTATGCTTGCTCCCGTTCTTCACGCTAGTCTTGTCAGGGTGCTGAGCTGCATCCTACGTGATCTGTACAGTATAAAGAAGGTTAGCAAGGTCGAGAAGATCAGTTTGTGTCGAAAATACACCGCGGACTTAAAAGCGTGGAGAAACGGTCTTCCCGCTTTCCTCGATCCGGCGCGAGTGCAGCCGTCGTTGCTGATGACTCTGCTTCAGCGTCAGAGTCATGTGCTGTCACTTGCATATGCTCACGCGTTAATACTCGTCAATCGACCGTTTTTGTTGAGCAATTTCGCGTCGTTGATGCCCAGCAAGTATGGGTATTTAGAGCCAATATTTGATGCCGAAGGTGAGGAAGCCGTACGGGAATGTACGTCGGCGGCGATGCTGGTAGTGGATATCGTTGACGACCTGAATGAAAGCAGCCAGATCTTTGCGGCATTATGGGTATGTTGTAGTTGTACCTATCTCCTTGCTGTGGATAAGTTAACATTTGCTCTAGTTCACTCAATATGTCGCGTTTTGTTCAGTTGTGGTCCTGTACGTGTACGTCATCCGATGCCGCTCCGAAGCCCCCGATGATATGGAGAAATATCTCGACGCTGCTCAGAAATGCCAACGTCAGATTGCGGTGGCTGCTAAGGAGAATTCGTTGGCGCAACGATATTCTGTTGTCCTTGAGGAATTGAGGTCAGAAGCTTTCAAGGAACTACCAGTAGTGGTGCCTAAGGGAGCAAGTCGTACTATTACGGAACCTGCCAGTGTCATGTCCCAAATCCGTGCCTGCTCACCCGCTGACGGTCAGCGGAGCATGTCGGATTTGTCACAACGTAAAGGCTGCATCCCGGAAATAGTCATGCCCCATCAGCCCCATCATGCCAGGGTTATGGATATGGACGATCAATCAGCAAACACAGCGAACAGTGTACACCCGCATTCTGCAATGCTTAGATCTGAGCATCTGGATGTAGGTGTCGTTTTAGATGGATATCCGAACGCATCCATGCAGTATCTCACCGGTTGGGAAAATTTTGACAATTTGGTTATGGACTTGGTTGGAAATGGTCCCTTCGACGAGCAAATAGCATATTGATTAAATTTCTCTCCGTTGACATTCTGCCGTAAAGGTCGATGATATAAAAGACAAAATTTGATGACATATTGCAATGTGGCGATGTTTGGTAGCGAT